TTCTCTCCTTCATATTTTCCATCTCTTTACCTCTCTATGTTGCCTTCTAGGTAAGTTCCTCAGATATTATTCACTATTCACTGGTTCACTATTTTTCTCTTCAATTGTGTTTCATTTACTCATTAGTTGTGTTTTAAATTTCCCCCTTTGCCCCCTAGAAATCTGATTTAGTCCCTTTTCAAATCTTTCTGGTTTTTTCAAAACTTTTTTTTGGCCGCACCATGCGGCACGTGGGATCTTAGCTCCCTGACCAGGAATCAAATCTGTGCCCCCTGCAGTGGAAGCGTGGAGTCTTAACCACTGGACCGCTAGGAAAGTCCCTCAAAGCTTTTATTCTATCCTTATGTTTTCAGTTTTATTTATCTTTTAAGTTTTAGAAAATTTAAACATTGTTTAAAAGCTATTCTGTTTTAGCTAAGGTAACACTAGCTGCAGTAACCGATAAACCTTGAATTCTCAACGGCTTCACTCAGTAGAAGTTTAGTTCTTGTTTATGTCACTGTCTGCATTAGTGATCTATTGCTGCATAATAAATTACCCCAAAACATAGAGTCTTAAACAAAAAATATTTATTATCTCACAATTTCTGTGGGTCAGGAATCCAAGCACAGCTTAGCTGGGTGCCACATGGATCAGATGTCTCACAGGCTTCATCAAGGTGTTGGCCAAGGCTGCAGTCATCTCAAGGCTTGCCTAGAGGAAGATCCCCTTCCACACTCACATGGCTGTCAGCAGGCTTCAGATCCTTGATGTGTGGGACTCACCATATGGCTCACAACATAACACAATTCAAACATAACAACTTGCTTCCCCCAGAGCAAAGACTCCGAGAGAGAGATGGTGAGAGAAAGTGTCCAAGATGGAAGCCTCAGTGTTTTTTGTAATCTAATCTCAAAAGTGACATGCCATTGTATCTGCCATATTCTGTTCATTAGAAGTGGACCAATAGGTCTAATCTGCACTCAAGAGGAGGGCACTATGCAAGGATGTGAATGCAGGAGGTGAAGATGATTAGGAGCTGTGTTAGAGGTTGTCTACCACACAGTTTAATATGAGCTCATCTTCAGTGTAGCTTTATCTTTGAGAACCCTCATCAGCCTGGGTTAGGAGTGGGTCCCCCAGAAAATATTTTTAATTAATTAATTAATATATTTTAACATCTTTATTGGAGTATAACTGCTTTACAATGATGTGTTAATGTTTGCTTTACAACACAGTGAATCAGCAATACATATACATATATCCCCCTATCTCCTCCCTCTTGCATCTCCCTCTCACCCTCCTAATCCCACCCCTTTAGGTGATCATAAAGCACTGAGCTCATCTCCCTGTGCTATGCGGCTGCTTCCCACTAGCTATCTGTTTTACATTTGGTAGTTTATATAAGTCCATGACATTCTCTCACTTCGTCCCAGCTTACCCGTCCCCCTCCCTGTGTCTTTAAGTCCATCCTCTACGTCTGCGTCTTTATTCCTGTCCTACCCCTAGGTTCTTCAGAACCATTCAGAAAATATTTTTAAATTGCTTCTGTTCAACTATTCTCGGTCTGGCACCTTTTTATGTTAATTTTTAATTTGGGGGGCGTCTGGCCCATGCAGACACTGAAGGCTGGGTCTGTGTGAAGACGAGCTTGTGGGTATAAATTCTTAAGAGATTTATCATCTTTCCCCTCTCCCCAGTGCCTGGACTACAGACTAGCTCCCTTGTCATCAGTCTGTGTTGATAATTGATTTTTCTAGTTTGTCTTTTCATCAAAGCTTTCCCCTTTCCTACTTTTATGCAGGTTCCCATTTCCAATTCCACGCTTCGTGTGGGCCCAAGTGGGTGTTAAAATCTAAGCCCTTTGGTTACTGAGACCAGCAACCCCTGCCCCCGCCTCCCACCCTCCACTGGGCTGTTTGCAGCATTGGCTCACACAGTTAATATTCTGATTTTCCAGTCTCCTCTTTGCTTTTGTCCCCTGGGGACTTACCTCACTTTCTTGTGAGCTCAATTAATGTATATAAAACGTTTGTTATATTTTATTAAGTGTTTTAGAACGTTTTAAAATGGGAGGGTTTTCCAAGGTTATCTAAACCAAATGACATATGTAAAGTATACAGGATGTTGCCTTGTCCCCAGTTGGACCCACTAACTCTAGTACAGATAATTTTCAGTTAGACCCAAACAAAGTATTTTCTTTTAAATATCCCACATCCTTGGAAATATTTACTGATTCTGAGTCTGGTTTGCAGAAAGGTTAAGGTTCTCATTTCCCAAGAGGATTCTTTGGCTTTGACTCTCCTGAAAGTGAGAGTTGAGGGGAGCAGGGTGGAAGGCAGTGTAGGGAAAATAGGAGAATTCACAGCACAATGTCACAATTTCATACTTGTAATACAGTAAAGATCAGCTCAGATGTAGTATTCCTCTGAGAGTCTATAAAAATCTACATTTCCCTTAGGTCCTGGTCCCTTATTGGAACGCCAGAAGCTCCTCTTGGCTAGTAGAGATGGAATATGTGTAGCCCCAGAGAGTTTCACACCCTCCTTCTGTCTGCCTTGGATAGAATTGGTCATGGGACTAGCATATGGTGGGGATTTCAAGAGCTTGAGAACCCTTGGGAAAGATGGGCCTTTGAGAGGTATTGTCACTGTGATTTAAGAACCTCTTGCTACTAATAATAGTAGTTAATGTTTATTGAGCACCTGCTATATGCCAAATATTATGCCTAGTGCTTTACACAGAGAAAAGGGCTGGAGATACAGATATAAGCCACAGAGTGAGATTCCTTCCATCCTTGGTGTCCAGACTTGAGACTGAAATGCTCTCTGCTAGGGTTAGACGAGCTTTCTTGTGCTTCAGAGAGACCCCCTGGGCTGGATTGGTTCTAGTTGGGGAGTATCTTGAGCCCAGCCTAGAAATAGCAAGAGTTAGATCAGCTCCTGAGCTTCAGGTACCACTGGTGCTTGGTACCCCAGAGGTCAAGAGATAGGAAAATGAGAGGCAGACTCACAAGGAGTCGTGAAAGTCACAGGTGCCACAGGAGTGTGGCTTGTGCCGGAGAAACATGGGAGAACTTCATGTCTACAGGCTCTTGGATTGATTTGTCCATGGCCTGTGATTTCTGTACACTTATAATGAAGTTCCTTTAGAAAAAGCTGCAGACAGTCTTTCTTTTTAATTACTGGACCCATGTTGGAATCACTGAATCTCCAGCAAATTTGGCTCTGACCTTCAAAGCAGCCAAGGTGAAGAGAGGCTTATAGTTAGAGAACCCTGGGTTCAGATCCTTAGGGTGGAGACTGAGTTAATATAGGTTTAACAAGCTCTCCAGGACATTCTGATGCTCAGTTAGCCTGGCAGGAGAGACAGGAAACTGGACACTTTAGTTTTCTCACTTACATGCTGGGCATCTTTGGATAATTCATCTGCCCTCTCTGAGCCTTAGTTTGCCTATCTGTAGAATAGGATGGAAATTCCTGCTCAATTTGAGGTAGACTCTAGTGATATAATGTCATATACACTTTGGGGGCCGAGTTTGGAAACACTGAGCTGCAATTTACACATGAGTCAAGCTACTCCTTTCTCTGTTGACTGTACATAAATGTGATGCCATGAATCTTTCCTGGGAGGTCACAAGATGCAACCATGGGATACTTGCTGTCACATTCACCATGTGGATGCTACTGAGGACCTTGTCCATGACTTCCTCCAGTGGCCTCTACATAATCACCCATGGGGGAATTTCTCTTGGACTCAGTGACAAGAATAGTGTGATTGTCATGAGTGGTGGCCTGTGTCTACCAGGTAGGCCCTGAGACCATCCTGTGGCACTGACTGAGGGCTTACCTGCACCAAGTGCCTCCCTTGTTTTTCTCTGAGTTTCCTAAATCGCCCTATGAAGATGGTACCATTATCGTTCCCATTTGACAGGTGATTAAACAGAGGCCCCAAACTTCAATGTTCCCAGGCCACACTGCTAGGAAGTAGCAGAGCCAGCACTTGAGTCCAGTTGAGTCTCACAACATAGCCCATGTGGGCAACCCAGAAGCTATACTCCTTGAAGCTATGGGTGCTCTGAAGCTCAGGGTCAAATGTGCAACCATCCTGTGCTCTGGGTGTTGAGCTTACCACTGAACCACCTTCTTCCCTACCTTTATATTTTCTTTGTGTCAGTTTTCTCATATAAAGCAAATGAAGCTACAGCCGCTGGTATATTTAGTCTTAGTGGAGTGTTATGTGACATGCTTCCATGAACAAAATTTTTGTTTTTCTTTTTCTTAGTTGCTTCAATTTTTTTTAAACACCATGGATTCTGCATCACAAAATATCAAAACCAAAACCAAGAACCTCAATCAGCAGTGGCTGAACTTTCCTCAGAGGATGAGGGCAGGGAAGGAACCGGCAGGCTGAACCAGAACCCTAGTTAGTGGGCAGAAGGTGGGGGAGGGCTTGGAACACTTGAAGGATGATAATTTTTGCTCTGTTATGTATCCATTAATTTCCTTCCTACCACATCATTTTATCTCTATAGGTTGCTTTCCATCATTTTTGTAATGCAGTTGGTCATAAATAATAAAATAAAAGTTGTCCTTCCCTACAGTACCCCATCCCCATACTTGGCAGGAGGGTGGCTGTCAGCTCTCTGGTCCTCTCCCCCCAGGGTCAAGTGAGAGAAACGTGAAGGGCTGGGACAGGTGGAGAGGAAGATGGGGTGGTCTGGAGGCACCCGAGCTAGGCATCTGGGAGAGGCATGGGGGGGGGGGTCGAGGGAGGAGTATTTAGAGGAAAGATTAGACCCCAAGGCTGGTCCCAAAGCAGGCCTGGCGAGCAGCACAGGGCAGAGGTGCCTCTGTCTTTCTTTGCAGGGGGTGAGGGTTTCTTTTAGTCCAAAGGCGTTAAGAGTCATACAGAGACACAGCTTCTGCAGAACTAGATATATTCCTAAGGCAAAGTGCCTCAGAGACGCCCCCATCCCATCTCAGCACCACGGTAACTGTCCTTCTGGCTCCTGTACCCAGCTCAGCGAGGAGCTGAACCAGCAGCTGGAGGCCGTGTGCGGGTCCGTGTTTGGGGAGCTGGAGTCCCAGGCCGTGGACGCCCTGGACCTGCCCGGCTGTTTCCGCATGCGGAGCCACAGCTACCTCCGGGCCATCCAGGCCGGCTGCTCTCAAGACGATGACTGCCTGCCCCTCCTTTCTACCCCTGCCTCTGTCTCAGGGAGGCCCGGCTCCTGTGAGTACGCCCCCTCTGTCCCTGGCCCGGCCCTAGGTTGGAGAGCGATCTGGGTCCGGTTCTGGCCCTGGTCACGGCTCTGCTGTGTGACCTTGGGCAGATCGCTTGCCTCTCTGGGTCGGATGATGGGGAGAAGGATCCGTGGTTCCGTAGGTAGCAGCACGTGGAGTACACGTGGCTGCTGGGTTCCGTGGTACCGCGTGGGTGTGGGGAGTGGCAGACACCTGTCAGGACGTGTTTCTCACCCTGTGTGTCTTTGGTTTCCCTGGCCACAGCCTTCAACTTCAGAAAGGCCCCGCCCCCCATCCCACCGGGAAGCCAGGCCCCGCCCCGCATCTCCATCACCGCCCAGAGCAGCACCGACTCCGCCCATGAGAGCTTCACCGCGGCGGAGGGCCCAGCCCGGCGCTGCAGCTCCGCCGACGGGCTGGACGGCCCGGCCATGGGCGCGCGCACCCTGGAGTTGGCGCCGGTGTCACCCCGGGCCAGCCCCAAGCCCCCCACACTCATCATCAAGACCATTCCAGGCAGGGAGGAGCTGCGGAGCCTGGCGCGGCAGCGGAAGTGGCGGCCGTCCATCGGGGTGCAGGTATGGAAGGAGGAGGCGCCGAGGAAGTTCAGGCCCCGTCCGGTTGAGGATGGATTGAGGGGGTCAGTGGGCCCTTCTTGATCATCGACGGGGCTGCTCCAGACAGTCCCAGCCCACATCCTTGTCCCTCATCCTGGCACCATCACCCCTGGCGAGCGGAGAGCGGTGCCCAGAGGTTGGCACCTTGATGCATCTAACTTCCTGGGTCTCTCGTCTCGTTCAGGCAGATTGTCTTTTCAGGATTTGCCAGCTGGCTTGGGGCTCAGGCATCGCTTGCCCTTCTCCCTGGGAAGGACTTGCATCCCTCGGTCTAGCCCTGGCCACTGACTTCCCAATCCTGCCACCAGGTGGAGACTATCTCAGACTCGGACACAGAGAACAGGAGTCGAAGAGAGTTCCACTCCATCGGTGTACAGGTGGAAGAAGACAAGAGGTGGGTCCGAGTGGGGATATCTCAGGCTTTGCTGGGGGTGGGGTGGAGAAGAGGAGAGAGGGATGCATAACGACCTCACTGGCCTGGGCTCCCTGCACGCCCTCTCTTCCTGGTCCTGAGAACAAGCCCTTTGAATGGGGAGGTGTCAGAGCAGCCACAGAGGCTTTCCACGGAGGTGTCACCAGGGCAGTCTAAAGTGAATTCTCCTTGTACCCATACCTGTCCCAGGTGCTGTGAGGTGGACAGGAGAATACAGTGGTCCCGGGAACGGGGTAGTAGGGAGAAGTAGCAGGTAGGTGCGAAGCAGGCCTCTAGCAATCGTCCTTTAGAGGGGATAACAGGATTTTTCCAATCCCTCGTTACTTCCTGTGGTGTACAAGTATGTGAACCCCAAAAGAAACAAATAAACATGAAGATTGCCTCTCAGGGGCCCCGGGCAGATATAATACTCCTCCCCACTCGGCTCATACAAGCATTTAACCAGTTGGGGGTATGCCACTATTCTGGCATTAGGTGGCCTCAGAAACAGTGTTTCCTTAATTTCAAACTGAAAAATTTGCACTGAGAGCTCTGGAGGGAATACTGGGAGGAATCCCTCTGTTGTTGGCTTCCTATGGGAAGATGCTTTCTCTAATGGCCATGTGGCAGTGTCATAGTGGCCCATCTGCCCTCTGGGCTGCAGTGCTCCCAGGCCAGTGGCCCTAAGTGTGGTGTCTGGGAACCTGCCTGGGGCTGGCTGTAAGAGTTTCGTGGTAATCTGTGTTGCCCAGGCCATACCCCTTGAAGGAATAAAAGTAGAGTGCCAGTAGCAGTCCCTCACAGCTCTGTTCCCGGTTGCCATTGTTGGGTTTTAGACCTTCCCTAAATTCCCCCAACTATTTTTGGGAACCCCTGGGAGCATCTTGTGTGTGTGTGTGTGTGTGTGGCTGATCAAGACTACTTGGGGTTCCTGTGGGGATTCATCACTTCTCTCTACTCTCACACTAGCTCCCTGCAGCTCCATATGCTCCTGAAGCTGTAAATGCCTCCATCGAGTGCGGCAAAAAGGCGCCCTCGTTGCCCCCGTTATTACTGAAAGCTACCGTCTTCCAAATTCTTAATATTCCACAAAGATCACAGAAAAGTAGCACTTTACGGTAAAGCCAATTCTGCAAGTCTATGACTTGAGTTCTTGAGAGGTGGGGTAGGAGTCATGGCTGGGTGCAGCTCTGTGTTCAGACCACTGCCCCCAGCTCTGATGCTGCCCATGGACCAGAAACCAAGCCCATGTGCCCCCATTTGCTCCCTCATGGGGCTTCTTGGTCCCTCATCCATATAGACCCCTGGGGGTCCCCCCATTCCTCCTAACAAGCCTGAATCCTGGGAAGAGTGCAGCAGGCATTCTACTGAGACTCAGACTATATCAGTAACCTCTGTCATTCATTTGTGGATTGATTCATTCAGAAAATACTTATTAAGCATCTGTTAATAAGTATTATTAACACTTATTATGTCATAAGCATATGACAGTGCCTGTTAAATGCTCAGGGAAATGTGGAAGACGTGACTCTTACCTTCGTAGAAGTTATGGCCTAGAAGGGAGTCAAGGCAATGAATAAACAAACCATGAGTAAAAATGTGATTACACACTGTGGTATAATAGGTAATGTGATATTATTACAATTATGGTGGGAATATGAAAGAAAAAAGCAGGCACTAAGAGAGAAGGAACTTTATTTAGGTTAAGCAGGTGACATTTAAGCTGAGACTTGAGGGTTGACTAGGAACACTCAGGTGATGGTCGGGGGAGGAAGCATTCCAGGAGGAGGGAATAGCATCTGTGAAGGCACTGGGAGAGGAAAGAGTTTGACATGCATTGGGAACTGAAAGAAAATTCATGTGGCTGGTGTGGAACAGGACAGGACAATGGTGAGGGAGTAGATTGGAGAATAGGTGGGGGCCAGGTCATGTACAGCATGGGCATGATAAAGAACTGGAATCTAATTCTAATTAATGAGTAGCCCTTAAAAGGTTAAAGAAGGAGTGTGGTATGATCTAATTTATGTTTACAAAAGATCACTAGCTGCTGAGTGGAGAATGAATTTCAGGGAAGTAATGGTGGGTATGGAGAGGCTAGGAAGCAGGATTTTTTCATGATCCAGAAGAAAGGCATTATGGACAATCTTATGTTGGGGATCTTTTTTTTTTTCCTGTTGTGCAGTACCAGTGTCTGGGAACACTATTAAGTTTTATATGTTGATTTTGTATTCAGCAGCCTTGCTGCTCTCTCTTATTAGGACCCAAAGTTTGTCTGAAAATCACGATGGGTTTTCTATATAGTCAGTTATATTTTCTGCAGATGAGGATATTTCTTTTAAATCTGTATTTTTATAATTTCTTTCCCTTGTAATAGTGCATTGAAGAGGACTTCTAGTTTACTGTTGAGTGTAGCACTCTTATGTCCTTCCTGACATTAGTGAATATCTTCTAAGGCCCGGTTATAAGTGTGACGATGTTTGCAACAGATTTTTTTTTTTTTTTTTTTTTGCGGTACATGGGCCTCTCACTGTTGTGGCCTCTCCCATTGTGGAGCACAGGCTCCGGACACACAGGCTCAGCGGCCATGGCTCACGGGCCCAGCCGCTCCGCGGCATGTGGGATCTTCCCGGACTGGCGCACAAACCTGTGTCCCCTGCATCGGCAGGCGGACTCTCAACCACTGCGCCACCAGGGAAGCCCTGCAACAGATTTTGATGGATACTATTGATCAGGTCAAGGAAATTCCCTTCTAGTCCTAGTTGGCTAAGAGCTTTTAATTTTTATTTTTTAATAAAAAATGAGAGTGGAATTTTATTGAGTGCTTTTCCAGAATCTACCTAGATGATCATAGATTTAATACTTTCATCTGTAATGTGGTGAATTATATTAATAGATTTTCCATGTTGACCCATTCTTTCATTCGTGGGATAAATCCCACTTGATCCCATTATCAGTTTGGATTAAGTTTGGCTGTAACAGGGTCTCAGTAGTGACTTCAGTATATTTCTCTCTCACCAAGAAAAAAGAAAAAGCCTGGATGTAGAAGTTCAGTGTCAGGACCCCAGGCTCCTCCTGTCTTGCTGATCTTCTACCCTTTGTATATCACTCATAACCAAGGAGCTGGTGCTCAAGCCCCAGCCATCCTGTCTGCATTCTGAGCAGCACCAAGGAGAAAGAGAGGAGAAGGATGCAGTCCTTCCTTTTAGAAAGACTTCCGGCGGGAATTCCCTGGCAGTCCAATGGTCTAGGGCTCGGCACTTTCGCCGCCATGGCCCAGGTTCAATCCCTGGTCGGGGAACTAAGATCCCACAAGCTGCTCGGTGAGGCCAAAAAAGAAAAAAAAATTTCCTGAAAGTTACACACAACACTTTCCCACATCATACTGGCTAAAAACTCATCCCATGGTGGCATCTAGCTGCAAGGGAGGTGCTGTGGAATAGTCTCTTATTGGGAAGCAATGTGCAATGAGCAGAGCTGAAAATCAGGGTTCTTATGGCTAAACACAAAGAGAAGAATGGGAAATGGAACTCTAACAGTTTTTGTCACAGTCTTGCTGTATTATTTTCATATAGGTTCCTGGATTTTTGAATAGCTGTTATTTTATTTAAGATTTTTTTATTTATGTTCATAAGTGATATCGGCCTACAATTTTTTTTTATTGTTGTTATTCAGTTCAGGCATTAAGGTTATGCTAAATTCCTAAAATGAGTTTGGTAACATTCTCTCTGTTCTGTTCTTTGAAACGATTTGTGTAAAGTAGGAATTATCTATTCCTTAAAGGTTTGGTAAAGGTTGCCTATAAAACGATCTGGGCCTTTTTGGGATAAGAGAAACTTTTTGAACTACAGCTTCAGTTTATTTCATGGTTATTGATCTATTATGGTTTTATTTTTCTTCTTCAGTCAATTTTGATGATTTATATTTTTCTAAAAAATGGACCATTTAACAAAAATTGACAGTTTTCAAAATTTTTGGTACAAATATTCTTTCTCATGGTATTATAATTTTACACATTTTTATTATATTTATAGGTTATGCCCCCCTTTTTATTCCTAATACCACATGCTTATACCCTACCTCTCTTTTTTGATTCATTTTGCTCAAGGTTTGTATATTTTATCATTTTAATATATTTTTAAAATTATATTTTATTAGTCTTAAAAAAACTAGCTTTTGGTTTGGGTGAGCATCTCTATTGCTTCTCTTTTAGCTTTAATATTTCCTTTCTTCTACTACTTTTCTGTTATTTTCTTTCTTCTACCATGTTTGATTTTATTCAGCTTCTTGAACACTATTTCTTATTTTCTGACATGTTTTTAAGGCTATAAATTCCCTTCTAACTACACTGCTGTATCTGTATCTCATACGTTTTGGGGTGCAGTGTTTTCATCGTTCAGTTATAAATAGTTTGTAACTAACTTCCTTTAGGAAGTTTATCGCAACTTCCTTTTTAACTTGTAAATTATTTAGAAGAATTTTTTATTTTTTAATTTTTTTTAGTTTCGAAATGTATTTTTTTGTTTGAGGGGCTCCTTTTCACTTCTGATTTCTAGATTTGCTGTATTGCGGTCATAGAATGCATTCTGTATGATATTTATTCCTTAGAATTTGTCAAGGCTTCCTTCATCATATACACATAGCATATATATGGTCAGACTTATAAATTGCATTTTTCAAATGTTTATCTTTGATATTTTTTGGATGTCTGATCTAAGAGTTCTGAGTGAGGTGTTTTAAAAATGTCTCACCATGATTGTGAATGTGTCATTTTCCCTGGGAATTTTATCAATTTTTTCTTAATTTGAGAGAATGCTATTTAGCATTCAGGCTTATGATTGTTGTGTCTTCTTGGTGGGTTGGCCCTTTTATCATTAAATAGGATGCTTTTCATCCTTACTATTGGTTTTTGCCTTGAAGTTGATTTTGCCTGATTTTATTGCTACGTCTGCTTTCTTTTGATTAATTTTCCATTATATCTTCAT